CTAAGTTCTAAATCAAAATGAAAAATAATAAGTGTGAGTGCATCACCTTTTATTGGTCAAAGATTATTGTCCAACCATCACCATCATTAATATCAAGATCATCTTTCAAATTCTTCAAAAACCACGACCAAGTACTAAAAGATTCTATATCAACCACTGCCCAAGCAATTAGGAACAATTGGTTGTTCCCATCCCTACCAATTACCGATAAAAATTATCCTTTACACACTATCTTAAGAAAACATCCATCAAGTCCTATAACTTTTCTACGACCAAGTAAGAAACCCTTTCTTACAACACTCAAAGGTAATGTACATTATCCGAAAAATTAGCGATAAATCGGTATAGTCGGATCTCTCATAACATAACCTTATTATACTTCCAAGATTAGACCTTATTTGCTCAAATTTGTAGTCTTCAAGTTTAGCATACTCTACTTTAGTTTCACCCACGATCCGTTCCATTACCATCTTTTTAGCTCTATCACATTTTGACAAACCAATGTTCAAACCATGTTTTTCCCTTATAACATCTCTTAATTCACAAAGTTTCATTGATGATAGAGCCCTCATTTTTTTAAACATATTGTTGGTCAACCAAGAACTTGTAAGTTTCTTGTTGTATAAAGAAGCAATGCATTGATGCTTGTTAAGGTAAGTTTTTACCTTGAAATCATGTGATTTTCTCTCATATGATGCATATATTTCTCAATTACATTTTGAAGCCTTACCCTCACCATAAAATCAGTATTCTTCTTATATATAAAGTCACGCTTCTAAAGAATTGAATGCTTTATCAAAGCCTCTTTAAAATGATTTGAATCATCAAACACCATGTCAAGGCAAAAATAAGGTTTATCGACTTGTGCATCATAAGCCGGTGTCTTGCTCTTTCTCCTAATTACGGTATCATCATATTCACCATCGGTTTCTTCATAATCGCAATTATCATCTTCCGAAATATAATCGATCATATACCCTACATCAATATCTAGGACCCCATAATCCTTGTTGGCGTAGCCTTCCTAATAGTCTTTTTGGTGCTTCTTTCTAATATTTGACCCTTAAAGTCTTTTATGCAAAACTTTTTCAAGTTCACCTTCCTATTTTTCACCTCATCATCATCATCTAATAGACAATCAACATCAACCAAATCAGCTTCATCTACTTCGGAATCTAACTCACCAAGATTTATAACATCTTCTTCACCATTTTCATCAATATCTTCAATGTCCACCCCATCATCATTGTTGATCGCAACTTCACCATTAACTTCATATTTAACTTCCTTGTTAACTTCCTCATCATTGTCGGCTTCACGGTTGATTGTTCCATCATCCTCATTTGTCCTACCAACAAAACCATCAACTACCTTCTCACCCACATACTCATCAACCTTCACATATCGTTGGTTAATGGAATTCCCCACCTCAATAAAATCATCTACAATATTATGTCTCTCTAAAAACTTAACTAACTACATAACGACAAGATCACAATCTAAAGGAAAAATCCCTTTTTTCTATTCCATTAACGAGGTTGGAAAAATATATATCGGGAATATGCTTAACCCTTTTTTCTTTGACAAAATCAATAATGTCTCACAAACATAAGTCGTCAATGTTTTTAACAAAGTAAATAGCTTTTTTACCTTCCAAATATTCCAATTTGGTATCATTGACAAACCATCCACCATAATGCAAGACAATTTTTGGTACTTGTTTAGACTAATCCCCCATCAACTGCGGCAATAAACAAAATGGAATGAATAAAGATAATAAAAAGATTGCCAACACGGACAAAACATAAAGTAAACTCGCAAGAGTAAACCCATAAAGTATATGTTATAGATGTCTTCATCCCATTCACTTTCGATTCCTTGTAATTATATTCTTCTCATATGTTGTTGTTCGTGTTTTTTAGGTTCCGAATTTAGTGTATAAGATGACAAACAAAAAAGAAGGTAAAATTAAAAAAGTGTTGGTAATTTTGGGTTTTGAATTTAGCATTTAGGTTGATAAAAGGAGAGGAAGATCAAATGAAGAAGAAATTGCCTTAGTTTTGACAATGCGGATAAAAAGGAAATGGAAGAAAGGAAAGAAAGGGAAGAAAGGGAAGAGGGGGAAGAAGAAAGGGGAAACTCATGCTACTTACATACGGACGACGATAACGATGGAGAAGAAGAAAAAACGAGGCCAAAACATAATTTCATCTTTCAAGTTAACTGCCAAGTCATCAAATGACGGTAATTTGGATGAAAATACTTGATTGAATATTTTTAAAAAGTTGATATACTAAATCGAAAAAAATAAGTTGGATAAACTCAATTGATAAAAGGCCCAAAGTTCATATACTTCTAATGTAATTATCCCTACGAGAAAATACCACATCGCACGAACCTTTTGCTTCATGATCTTAATTTGACTCGTTTTAAAAGACATTCCTCAATTTAAGTGGGCTCGTAGCTCGTAAGAGAAGTAGGGTCTAATGCCCGTAGGCCGCTAAATCCCATGTTAAACACCCGTAGTATTATGGCCTATGGCTATAAGGCTTACTTATCCTAGTCGCGAACAATGAAGTTGGGCCACAAACTACTTGGGTCAAAATTAGCTCATTAAACACAATTTTTTTTTCGATTTTTGGTTAATGAGCATCCTTCCTTCCCATTAATTCATGAGTTATTAAATATCAAACAATTTTCCTACCTTGTACTCCATAATCTTGTCTTTCTTGTTCAAATTATGTGGCTTGATTTCTAGGTGTAGCAGTAAAAGTATTTTGGATCAATTTTCATGTACTTCAATGAATCATTTTTTGACCGTAACTAATCAACATTCTCTAACATATGACTTCGAATGTTATAAAAATAAATTCTCATTAGTATTGGTTACAAGTATCAAATTATAAAACTAACATATAAGTTGATGTTTGCTTATCAACAAACTAATACTTACTTTGTAATTATTATAAGGCTCAACTAGAGAACGGTCATATATATATATATATATATATAGAGAGAGAGAGAGAGAGAGAGAGAGAGAGAGAGAGAGAGAGAGAGAGAGAGAGAGAGAGAGAGAGAGGACTATTATAGTCCAATTAATTTTTGGCCCCCGGCCCCTTTTGCTACGGCTGCCGAATTCCAACAACCCAACGCTTGCCAGTTACCTCAGATTGAGATCGGAGCCCTCGTGAGCATATAAACAAGTGTTTTGATTTCTGTTTCACTAATTATGCATTTTTGCATTTCCTGTTAACTTCAAGTCTCATTAGCACTTTTTACGGTGCTTGTTTCTTTATTTTGGCTGGCTGGGAAAGGAAAGCATATCTCACTTTTGCATTGCTGCCTATGTATTGCTAAAGCAGCCTATTATTTTTGGTCACTGCAAAACGAACTCATGACCAAGTAACTAGAATGTACCATCCTACTTAGTAATGGGTCAATGATTTTGAACATTAAGTCACACACATTCTACGGTTGATTTCATGAGTTGAAAGACGATAAATAATACTAGTAGGTGTAATTGTAAAATAAAATAAAATAAAAAATCAACGAAATTAAGACCATTTCCCTTCTTTCAACGTGGCAAATCATTTGTAATAAGCCTATGACTGTCGCACTGTACGTATGGCTGGGAGAGAATGAGTCCCTCTTTCTTTTAGAAGGGGTTCTGCATACCTTATTTTAGGAGAGAAAAAAAATCTGTTTTGAAAACATCCTTTTTCGAAGCAAAGGAGAAAGGAGGTGCGATGTCATTTTTCTCTAAACAAAATCAAGTGCTCTCTCAGCCAAAATTCGAGTAAGAACATTAACAAGATCGGAAGATGTAAGACACGTCTTGTTCAGAAGCGAGTTTGTGCGTGAAAGCGAATTTTGTGTTTCAAAGTCTAATGGACTTGCCTTAGAGGAGGTGTCCCTGAATTCCTCCTACCTTATCCTAAGATTTAAAGCCCACTCATTTGACATGGACGGGAAGACCCTAGTTGGGTTTACCACCAGTAATAGTATTTGATACTTTTAGCAGCCTGATTCTGATATTCAAGGCCAATATTTCGAAGACAACATTTGACACTTGCTCCAGATCCTATAAAATTCCTAGTTTCAAAACCACGGACTAACAGAGTAGGGGAAGGAAAAGGATTATGAAACAATTTAAAGCATTACATTATAGTAATAGTTGTAAGTTTTTGTTGGTTTTAAACCTGAGGAACTTATTCAAATCATGTAGTGTACATATATAGTTGCGAGACGTAGCTATTTGTTGTTTTCCTTATTCAAATCAGGTAAGTTTTTTTCTTTCTAATCCAAATGTATAGGATGACTGGTGACTAGTAATTCTGTGGTTGGTGAAATATAAGAGAGTCAAACCAAGAGGTCAAAATCTATTTTTTGTATGAAGATGTAAATATAGTAAGGGAAAACATTCAACAGCCAGGCAATTTCTTAACCCCCTCTCGTTTCGGCCCATGCTTTTGATGACAACCTGTAGCTTGGAGACATTTCCTTCATTAACCAATCCCACAAAAAAGGTTTCCTGTCATGACCCTATTCCTTCATTCATTCTGTCTCCTCAAAAGGACAATTACTTCTTAATTCCTGTTGTTTCGGGGCATGCTTTTGATTACAACCTCAAGCTGGAGACATTTTCTCCATTAACCAACAAAGCTAATTTCCATGTCACGGTCTTCCTCCGTGCCTGCTTTCTCTTCAACCAAACAGAGAAATTATTCCTGTTAACCCTTTGGAGGAGGCTGCATTGCGTTCTTGTCAATTTTCTGTTGCACCATTAAAATCTAATGTTCAAGTAGTGGTGATTCACTAGCATCGTTTACCATTCAGTAGCCGATGTGAGAATCATGCATTGATCCATTTTTGCAAATTAAATTTGCCAGATTCACACCATCTGTCCTGGATTAATCGCCAAAACAACTCAGCCGCGGAATAAGTACTTGGTAAATAGTACAACCAATTTCATCAGCCTTGGGAATTTTGTGTCGTCTGTGATGGCTCCAAGCAAGATCAGAAGAGCTCTTGGGGTAGTGAAGGACCAGACTAGCATCGGCCTAGCCAAAGTTGGCAACAGCAACTCATTATCAGACCTTGATGTAGCCATTGTCAAGGCAACCAGGCATGAAGAGTACCCTGCAGACGAGAGGCACATTCGTGAAATATTGAGCTTAACTTCTTATTCTCGTGCCTACATCAGCTCATGTGTAAACACCCTCTCCAGGCGTCTCAACAAGACCAGGAATTGGACCGTGGCATTGAAGACGATTATTTTAATTCAAAGGCTGTTGGCGGAGGGTGATCCAGCTTATGAACAGGAGATCTTCTTTGCAACCAGGCGTGGGACTCGCCTTCTTAACATGTCAGATTTCCGTGACTCGCGATCCAATTCATGGGACTACTCCGCATTTGTGCGCACGTTTGCTCTTTACCTTGATGAAAGGCTTGAGTTTAGGATGCAAGGTCGTCGAGGGAAGCGTAGTGCATTTGGAATAGAAGAAAATGAAGAGGAGGCTGGCGCTATTTGTGTAAAATCGACGCCTGTCCGTGACATGAAGATTGACAATGTCTTTTCCAGGATGCAACATTTGCAACAGCTACTTGAGCGCTTTTTAGCCTGCCGCCCCACAGGTTGGTTCACATCCCTTAATTTCCCACATATATGTTAATCAATTTGCATGCAAATCTTGACTTATTACTTCAGTATTGCATATTTTAGATAGATATCATTTGGGCAAGTTTTGGTGCAGGTGGCAGTGGCAGCCTCCAGATAATATTAATATTATAGCATGGACTAAAACCAAAAGAGAAGAGAACACAGGATATACAATATGCATACATATGGCACTCTTCTTGATGTTTAAGGAATCTGAAAAAACAGATTCAAGTTAAGGTTCTGGCGCAATATGAATTTGCGGCCCTTATCCTTACAAGACCTTTGAAAAAAATGTTGTGAAGAATTCTGCCCATGCTTCAGACTAAACAATTAATTGAGTATTTCAGGTCGCAACGAATATAAATAAAAACTAAGCTTGGTAATTGTCATGAAATAATACATAAAAATAATTTAATTTTAAAAAAAATCTCCAAGCACATGTTGGCATCTTGCATCTTTATGCATTATAAATGAAATTAGACTTTATTAATGAGTATATACACTCTCATGCCGGAACTTCTATCATTGCGTGTCTTAAACCAGGGGAGGCGAGGCACAACAGGGTTGTAATTGTGGCTCTCTATCCAACGGTGAAGGAAAGTATCCAGTTGTATTATGACATACAAGAAATATTGGGCATCTTAATCGATCGTTTTATGGAGCTAGAGATTCCTGAGACTATAAAGGTGTACGAGATTTTCTGCCGAGTCTCTAAGCAGATGGAGGAACTCGACAACTTCTATAGCTGGTGCAAAACTGTTGGCATTGCACGCACTTCGGAGTACCCAGACATTGAGAAGATTACACAGAAGAAGCTTGATATAATGGAAGAATTTATTCGAGATAAGTCTGCACTGGTACAAACCAAGAGAGCTACATCGGTAGAGCCAAAGAATGAAACTGAAGAGGAGAAACCATGTGAAGATGATATGAATGCAATAAAGGCACTACCACCACCTGAAAGTTACACGGAGACCCCCGTAGAAGAGGTGCAGGAAGAAGTCAGGGATGAGGAGAAAAGGGAAATCAATACACAACAGGAGGCTGATTTGTTGAACTTGCATGATGATGCTTTGTCAACAGAAGAACACGCAAATAAATTGGCCTTAGCTTTGTTTGATTGTGGTGCACCAGCTGATCCTCCACAAGCTCCTGCATGGGAAGCCTTCAATGATGATACAACAGATTGGGAGGCAGCTTTGGTTCAATCAGCAAGCAATTTAACAAATCAGAAGACAACACTTGCTGGTGGTCTTGATATGATGTTGCTTGATGGCATGTACCAACATGGGGTGCAAACAGCAGCAATGTCCGCTACAGGTTCTGGAGTTCATGGAAGTGCTAGTAGCGTTGCCCTCGGTTCGGCTGGAAGGCCTGCAATGTTAGCTTTGCCAGCTCCACCAGTGTCAAGTGGTGGCGCTACAACATTAGCAAATCCAGATCCATTTGCTGCCTCACTTGCGGTTGCACCGCCGCCTTACGTGCAAATGTCTGACATGGAAAAGAAACAGAAGCTGTTAGCGGAAGAGCAGATGCTTTGGCAGCAATATGCGAAGGATGGAATGCAAGGACAGGTTGCATTTGCAAAGCTGCAAGCTAATTCTTACAACGTGGGAGGTTACACACACGGCTACCATCCAAGATCAGGTTAAATAGGAATTTCTTTATGCTTACAGCCTTTCTTTCCATTGTTACTGGAAAATTGATGAGTATTGCTGCTGAAACTATCACTAGGTCCTGTACGCAATGCAACTATATATGACTTGTAATTAACAGTTTCAGTTAAGCACTTCGGTAAAAGAAAACCCTATTTAACAGTGTAATTTTGTTTTATATAAGGCCACGCAAATTTACCAATTAATCAAAGAGAACATACATCCCTACCAATTTCATACCTTCTTTCTACTGATGTGCTGTTCCAACTTTCCAGTTTCATCATTAAGTTGTAAAGGCGGAAGCTCCAAACTGCAATCTGCAGGTTCCTGTAATTGCTTGGAGCATTTTGACCATGGATCATTGCTTTCACTTATGCTTGAATTTATCAAAAGCTACAAGAATCTCTAAACTTTAAATCATTTGTTTTTGAATTTCTGAACTTTTGTATGCTTTAAGAATATCTTAACTTTAAATTTTTTTCAAATCTAGCTTGTCCTTCAGTTTTATATCATTCATCTCAAAAAATAAAACTAACATAAATAGTTTTATGACTGAAATCATTAATGTGAGGTTTCTAAAAAAAAAAAAAATTGGAATCATTTTGAAGTTATTTTCTATGTTTCCTCATTTTTTATATTTTTAATATTTAAATAAACAAATATAATTGAGAGCATCTCAACATGCATTCAAGTTCACAAACACCGTAGAAGATCAAACTCGAGCAACGTCGAAACACAAATTCTTCAATCTTGAATCTGATCAATCACATCAAATGTGAGAATCTTCGTAAGAGAAAAAAAGAAAGAAAAAGAAAGCATCAATGCTCGTTTACTGGTATCAGCTCGAATAGACAATCAGCTTATCAGTTTCATCCATTCTTATATATGTCATTGCTAAAACAGATTAGCATGGTTAGCATTAGGCATGGCTCATGCCACAACTCTGCCAGTTTGTATAGTGCTCTCGTTTTCTTTTCTTCTTCATAACAAACTTTGATCATGAAAGCATGTTCTCATTACAGGAAAGAATAATACATTCCGAAAATGACAGATTCTGTAGCCAAACTCTTCTTCTCAAGTTATTTAACTGAAGCTATATAATTTCATTTGATCCGCACACATCTATGAAGCTTTTGTCCATTTTACCTTGAAACAAATCTTAATTTCCTTCTTTGAATAATTCAAACAATTTATTAATACATCTCCCAAACATTGCTGCCTTTTATATTTACTCAAATCAAAGAAACACACACATCAACTAAAATTAATTACATCCTTTCTTTTCCATTTGCCTTAAACTTTCCTATTTCCATTATATATAAAGAATATACAACTAATACTAGCCGTAATTCATGATTAGGACACAGAACAATCACTAGTTAATTACCTATGCACGAACATTGACCATTACAAAAACAATGAAACCCAGAAGGATCCCTTAAAAGTATCTCTCTTCCGGTGACTGCTGATGCATATTTCAAGAATGTATGACAATCCCTACATAGAAGGATGTTCTTCACAACCCGAATGGGTTCTCCAGGTCTAGTCGTCAGAAGTCCATAGGTTGCAGCTAGTTTTGCACTGTGATAGAACAAGAAATCCTTCTTTTGCTGCTCCTCAACTTCATGAAGCACAAAGCTCGTGTCTGGTTCATATCCAACTTTTAGGCATTCCAAGATTAGTATATCTAATCCACTATAGATGTCTTTTGCTTGGGGATGAGATTTATCTCTTGCATAGAATGTATGAAGCTTCTTCTGATCTATAATCCAACTTCGACATGGGTACTTTCGAAGCCCCCTGTCCCTCATATTCTCCCTGACCATTTCCGAGCAATGCCACCTCCCAGAAGCAGCATATAGATTTGATACAAGCACATAAGTGGAAGGATCCTGTGGTTCCATCTCAATTATGTGCTTTGCAACACGTTTCCCAATGCCTGAGTTTGCATGGAGTCTACAACTATCAAGCAAAGATCGCCAAACAGAAGCCTTAGGCTCAAAAGGCATCTTATGGATCAACTCCTCTGCTTCTTCAAGGAGGCCCCAGTACCCCAAAACGCCAACCAAGGAGGCATAATGCTCTGAAGTGGGCTCCAGGTGATGAATCGTTTTAAATGAGATAAACAAACTGCGACAATCATCCAGTAAATTTGAGCTAGTATATTTATAAGCTGAAACAATCAAAAGGAATGTGATTGAATCCGGCTTTATGCCTGCCTTCTCCATACTTGACCAGATAGCCAAGGCCTCATCGCCCTGCCAGTGAAGAAGATGGCCTGCAATCAAACCGTTCCATGAAACTACATTGTGTGCTGGCATAGTATTGAAAGACTTAATTGCATCATCTATGTTGTAACACTTAGAATACATACTAATTATGGAATTTCCAACCCCCACTTCAGTATGAAACCCAGTTTTAAGAGCATGACTGTGGATTTGCTTCCCCATATCATGGAACCCTAAAGTTCCACAGACGCCAAGTACTGAAGTGAAAGCAACTTCGTCTAGAACCATTGTCCCCTCTGACTGACTACGATGGAAATGATAAATTGCCTCCTCTGGCAGCCCATTTCGAGCATACCCACATATCATTGACGTTTGGATTACTGAGTTGTCCCCATCAGATGACCAACTTCGAAACATCTTATCGGCATCATCCATCCTTCCACACTTCGAGCACATATCAATCAGAGCTGCTTCAATACAAGCATTTGACCTGAAACCAAACTTGACGACAAACCCATGAATTTGCCTACTAATTTCCAATTTCATGAGCAATCCGCAAGCATTAATGGCACTTGTCAATGTGAAATCTGTTAACTCTAGTCGCTCTTGGACCATCTTAACGAATAAATTGAGTGCCTTCAACCCTTCATAATTTCTGCAAAATCCTGCCAAAAGTGCATTATAAGACACACAATTCTTTTCTGGCATCTTGTTAAACACGTCTACAGCCAAATCCACCAACCCAAATTCCATATATGCTGTAATCATCTCGGTCCAAGTAACTACATCTCTGAATGGCATCCTCTCAAACAGAGCCACCACATGGTTCAGACTTCCACACTTAGTGTAGAACCCGATAATGGCATTGCTCACACTCAAATTGTTCTCTAATCCAATTCTAATGGCATGAGCATGAACCTCTCTACCTTCCATCACAGCATGGCACCTAGTACAAGCAGTCAAAAGTGTCGAAAGCGTAAATTGATCAGCTTTAAACCCCTTAGTTTGGTTCAAGACACGAAACAATTCTAACGCTTTTTCATATGATAACTCTTTCACCACACTCGAAATCATGGTATTCCATGATGCAATATCTCTTCGAGGCATTTCATCAAACAATTGAATCGCATAGTCCAAACAACCACACTTGCCATACAAACCTATTAAAGCGTTAGCAACAAAGACAAGTTGTGAATAACCCATCTTGATTGCCAAAGCATGAACTTGCAATCCCAATTCCAATTCCAAACTCCTAATACATGCAGTTAAAATAGCAACAAAACTGTACTCGTTAGGCTCAATACCTGAACCCCTCATTCTAAAGAAAAGTTGAACGGCTTCCATTTCTCGATTCGACTTAGCAAAACTAGAAATTAAAGCACTGTAAGACACCACATCAGGGGTAGACATTCCCATAAAAACCCCATAAGCGTCAACAACAAGACTCAACTTGAGATAAGCTGCAATGACAGCATTGCTCAGATGGGTATCCTCTTCAAGTTTTAGAATGGAAGCATGTAGGGCTCTTGCAAGGTCAACGTCAGTGTACTTGACCGACAATCGAAGCAAATTGAATAAATCATCAACGTCAATGAGACAGTCAGTGTTGGACTGAAGTGAATAATAATTAGACTCTAAGGGGGGAAAAGGTTCAAGATTTTGGGGTTTAGAAAGAGAAGGGGGTGAAGATAGGAGAAATGGCGAGGCGCAGGAAGTGAAATGACGGCGGTGGTTGGGTTTAGAGAGAGTAAGTGAAGTGAGTGGCGGTTGGGCGGTGGTTCCTGGTGGTTTTAAAGGGAAGTAAAAGGAACTTTGGGACAGAAGAGATAAAGGAGATAGGGTGATAGCGGTGGCTATGGAGGTTTGAGAAATGGCAGCCATGAATAAGAGGCGCCAACCATAATCTGCTATTTTACAAACAAAATTGCAACTCTGTTTCTGGATATTTACCGAGGATTTCTACCTAGTACATGGTGCCAGAGTCAAACTTAAAATCTTTTACTCTTTCTTTGTTTCATGTAACATAGGGTAGTATATTTTTATTTTTAAATAATTACACTATAAATAAATACATTAATTTTTTAATTTTTTAATAAAATATATGAAATTTATTTTTTATTTAAGTATATTAATTTTTTATATATGTCAATCAAGTATTTTTTTCTCTAGTTTTGTCGATTGTTTTGTTATTTGATGATATATTACTTGCTCTAAACTATAAAACTATAATTTTGTTTTTTTGCTTTTGGAAGGAATTTTTTTCCTAAATTATTTTGTCTTTTTTTTGCAGTAAATATTCAAATTGTCTTTATAAAAAAAAAATAGAAGATGACAAAATAATAGGAGAAGGAAGGTTTTTTAAGAATGAAAAATCAAAATTTTCACATCATCAAATAATAAAGCAACTAATAAAATTTTAATGGAAAATACTTGACTGAAAATTTTAAAAAACTCATTATAATCAAATAAAAAAATTAAAACTCATATTTGATTGATAAAATGTTAAAAGTTGATATACTTATATTGTAAGTATCCTTTTTATTTTTAATTTAGCAAACCTTTGTATATTTCTGTTTCCTATGATTTTTTGCAAAATAATTTGAATTGTTTTTTTTTAATTTTGGTAAAAAAAAAAAAAAAAAGAGCCATGAACATATTTGAGTGGAAATAATATTTTACTAAAGTAACAATTTGTTATAAAATTGAACCAAAATTTTGTTGTAGTTTAACTTTGAAATTATTACCTTTTTTTAAAAAAAAAAAAGAATGAATTTTTGAATTATATTACAAAGTTAAAAATTATTTTACAAAAGTTATGTTAAGTGGATTTGAATTTTGAAGTGAGTTCCATTTTTTAAATGATGGTAGTCATAAATCTGGAGAATGGATCCATTTTAAGAAGACATGCATATAAAAATATTTTATCTATTTTCTTCGTATCTATTTCTCTTCGAAATAAATTCATGAAGCAAACAATATTATAAAATGTCGAGCTAGGATGGAACTTACTCATTTTCTTTTGTCCTTTCCATCCTAATATATAAAAATACAGTCTTAAAAGCTTGCATGCATCATATAAAGGCAAATGACAAGCTAAAAATGTTGCAAGTAGCATGGGGACTAAGAGTTTTGATGTGACCAAATTATTAATTCTATATTGGATTATAATAATCACTGATATACAAATATTAGATATAAGGATAAATAGTTATTTATTAATTTAATATTAATTAATATCTATTATATCCAATCAATTCATGTATTAGAATTTGTAGAGAAAAACAAATGTACTAAGTACCTTACCTAAAATAACTCGTCTCCTCACTCCTCTTTATATATATATATATATATATATATATTCTTTAAGGTATCTTAGATCTAAAAATTCAGATTAATCGTTCGTTATTATGTCGAATGTATAAGTTGAAGACAGCTATCTAAAAATTTTTTTACATATACAAAGATTCAAATTCGAGACTACTTCCTTAAATGACTAAAATTCTTTCTACTCAAGTTAACTCTCTTGAATCAGTTCCCTCTTTCTATATCTGCTTTGTGAATTCACCAATACAAATAGGTTATATAAGATCCATAAAAGAAGGAAATGTGAATTTAAATTTCAATGATTTTCATGAAATCTCATTGAAAAATCAAAATTCTTACAGTCATGCAACCCACGTTGCATCGCTACGGAATTTAAGGCTGTGGACCTCGGATAGGATCATTTTAATTGTGAGCAATTTTTGCAGAATCATTTTGTATGTATATGTCTCTATATACTTCTTATTCTTCTTCTCAGGTTTAAGTCATGTTGATTTATATCCTGACTTTGGCCTTTTAAGTGTCATTCCATAGAGAAGTTTTAATGTGTGCATTGCTTCTCATTATCTTTTCTCCTTTTATCTAAATTTGAACGTGCACAGGTAACTAATTTTTTTAGAAGGATTTGAAAATTTTCTCAAATCTCTCATTGGATCCTAATTGTTCTTATTAAATGAAAATTACACTCAATTTCTTCACGGTTTGTAGTTTTCTTTAAAAAAAAAATATTTTTTCCAAAAGAAAGCAGCCTTTTTTTTTTTCCCTGGGGGAGAATTATCTGTTGTAAAGTTATTAAAAATTTTTAATGTCAACGAATCTCATTCAATTGAAAGAAACTATTAAAGAATCACATATTTTAATACCGTCAATGCCTTAAATGTTAAATCTGGATGGATGCTAAACAATTTATAATGCTAGCTTCTTGAAATTTTTTAATAATAAATTTTACTTGTGTCTTAATCATTACAAGAAAACTCAAATTAGGAGGGGTATGAGATGATTGAGATACAAAGTCAGCAGCGTAATATTTAAGCTCCTAAAGCAGATATGTTTAAACCAATTTTAATTTTACATAGACCATTTCATTTGAAATAGTTCTTTCATAATTTTTTTTTCTTTAGTCCTAAAAGTGTATTTGTTTTGAATCCTATAGCAAACTACATTTGTAGTAGAGACAAATATGATAAAATATATATATTTTTTAATTAATTTAAAGTCACATTTTCATCTTCAAATCTCCATACACCAACATAATTTGGTGTTATTAATGGGGCTTCAATTCTTTCCCCTTTATAATTTTGTATGTTTTCTTTTAAGATAAAAATATTTGTTCCTTTCAAACGTGAAAATTGTTTACCAATATTTTTTAAATCATTTTTTTGCCTCATTTTTATTTTTTTTGCTTCATTTTTCGAATCTTTTTTGTTCAAATAATTTTCAGTTTTGATTCTTTTCAATTTTTTGGTTGTCGTCGATTGTTAAAACTTACGTCCACGGTTTTTTTTTTTTTTTTTTAATATCTAAGCATTAGTCCTTTAATATTAATCGACTTTCAATAAAACCTACCAAAAAAGAAAAAAGTCAAATAAGGCCTTTCTTTCACGCAAGCGTGGGTCCTACGACTAGTAAGTGTTGCAACATGACACAACATTAATTATATTTTTAATAAATCTTCTCTCTTACCATGTTTTTAAAATTACCAAAAGGATCGTGGATTTTGATTATATACTCTTCATATTAATAATAAAAAACTAAAAACTAAAAAAATTTGAGATATTGACTGTTCATTACTATTCATTTATTTTAGTTTGTTTTTTTTTTTTGAACTTTTGTTAGTAACAATATCATAGTTATGCAAATTTTTATACATTGGTCCCTAATATTTTTGACTTCATTTCGATCCATATCTTTATTTATTGATACAATTTAGATCCCTAAGTGTAGAGGAGGGAGGAAAGAAAAAAGAGACGGGAGGAGAGAGAGAGCTACGATCAATCTTATTTAGGCCACTTTGGCAAGCGAAACTCTATTGGATTTTTTTTTTTATCTTTGAGAGATGAGTTTGTTCATAGTAGTTTTAAGCTATTAAATAATTGAACGATCTAGATCGAAGTCAAAAAAG